AAAAAAAAAAAAAAAAAAGCCAAGTCTCTAGTCTAAGAACTCAGGGCTAACTAGGGCAAGCCAGGTTGTGACACAAACCGGTCTGACTCTTGGATGCCTCATACATCACCTCCAAAGTCACTTCCCTTTCCTAAGCCACTGTCTTCTGCCTGTGATTGTCTATATTGGTACCCATACTATTCTAGATGCCGGGGGCACAGTGGTGAAAAAAGTCCCTGCCCTCGTGGAAATGCCAAGCCGGTGGGGTGCCCGATAATGAGTAAATGACCAGAATGACCAGAATGTAGTAAGTGACCAGAAAAGGCAGTGAAGGAGAAGGGCAGTGGTATTTGCTAGCTATTAATACCAAAGAGGGAAGGTAAGGCCCCTCTCATAAGATGCCATGTGGGCAGAAGTGAGGGGGTGATCCAGAGGGACATCCGAGGGAGCAGCAAGTACAAAGGTCCTGAGGTCAAAGTGTGCCTGACATTTTACAGAAACAAGATTCCTGTGGTTGGAGCAGAGGGAGTAAGGGGGAAACAGGGAGGAGACAAAGTCACAGAGGGATCAAAAGGCAGATCCTGCAGGTCCTTGGGCCTCGGTGGGTGAGTACTCAAGCTTTTACTCTGTGAGTGATGGAGCCATGGGAGGATTCTGAGCATACGAGGAACAGGCTCTGACTTAGGTGTTCACAGAATTCCCCTGTGAGGAAGAGACTGAAGGGGTGGGGCAGGACTGAAAGCCCAACGAGGAAACCTCTGAATCCATTTATGTTGAAGAGGAAGGTGGCTGGGACGGGGTGGGAGCAGCAGAGTGGGGAGAAGTGGGGAGGTTGTGAATATATTCTGGAAGTAGAGCCAACAGAATTAAACTGATTGGACGTTGGGTTAGAGAGAGAGAGAGGAACGGCAGCAGTAGTTTGTTGTTTCCTGGTATGAGGAGGACTTGGTTTGGTGGGAGGATTAGCAGTTAGGTCTTATACATATTAAATCTGAGATGGCTCTTAGATATCTCAAGATATTCACTAGACCGTTGAATACCCAGATCCTTGGATACCCAGATCTGGGGTCAGTGCTGGGAAATAACAGCAAGTAACAGTAATATATTAATAGTAGAGTAGTTATATTGTGATATTCTACATAATACAGTCATATTAACAATGATATATTGAATTCACACTTGGGCTTTTCCATCTATCTGTTCCACCGTTTGTTCTCACAATAGCTATATGACATATTAGGGACTGTAATCCTCAGAGGGGGAAACAAGTTCAGAAAGATCTATGAATTCACTAGAATAATGCACCAGTAAGTGGCAAGATTAAATCCTAGGCCTGTCCAGTTTTGAGATCTAGATCTGCTAGTTGCTTTTGCAATAAAGAGTTGACTGAACTGGATAATCCTTAAGGAATCCTTTCAGTTCCAGAGAGCCTTAAGCTTGGAAGGACAAAAGTTCCCCAAGCCTGTTAGATTGTGTGCAAGTCAAAAGTCCACTGCGTGCCACTGTACTCCAGCCTGCGACAAGAGTGAGACTCCAACTGAAAAAAAAAGTCCACTGTTTTTGTTCCCCCTCGCCCCCAGGCTGAGTCTTGAGTTTCATTCTGTCGCCCAGACTGGAGTCGTGGCTCGATCATGGCTTATCACAGTCTGGAACTCCTGGACTCAGGTGATCTGTAGCTGGGAATACAAGGGCACACCACCACACCACACTAACTTTTTAATTTTTTTTTTTTTTGAGTTGGAGTCTCGCTCTGTCACCCAGACTGGAGTGCAGTGGCACGCTCCTGGCCACCGCAGCCTCGATCTGCTGGACTTCGGCGATCCTTCTGCCTCAGCCTTCCAAGTAGCTGGAACTACAGGCGCGTGCTACCACGCCCGGCTAACTTTTTAATTTATTGTGGAGATGAGGTTTTTGCCTGCCCAGCGGGTCTCGAACCTGCGGGCTCAGGCAATCCACTCACCTCAGCCTCCCAAAGCACGGGATTACAGGCTGAGCCACTGAGCCCGGCTAACTTTTTAATTTTTTGTAGAGAGAAGATTTCGCTATGTTGCCCAGGCTGATCTCAAACTCCTGGCTGCCTCAGCCTCCTAAAGTGCTGGCATTGCAATAGGCGTGATAGGTATTGAATATGTTCTTTGAACTTCAGTGCCTGCATTCTGTCAAGACTGCCCTTCTGGTTTCGCTTATTTTCAGGATGCCTACAGCTTCAGACAGGGAGTCCGCAGCAGCTAAGGGGTTAGTGGTGAGGCGTTAAGTGAGGATGCCCTTGTTAGGGCAAGAGGGATGGCTTGCAAAAGTCACACAGCCAGTCAGGGTCACACCTAAGCATTTTGCGCGTGTTCCCACATCCCTCACCAAACCTCTCTCTCCACCCAGATTCCTTCCCTGAGACAAAATGGATGTAGGCGGAGTTGGTTTTCAGGTTTTTATTGTGGGTGTATTTCTGGCGGCAGGACAGGGGCGGTGGGGCAGGTCCTCCCCCCCCCCGGGGTGGGGGCAGAGGCGGCCAGGCGGGAGGAAAAGGACGGGGACGCACTTTACTCTCGAATCTTCAGTTCCCGCGCCATCTGACAGAGGGCGCAGGGCAGACAGAAGGTGAGAGCCGCCCAGTCGTGCCCGATGGAGCCCTAGAGGGTGGGAGAGAGCTCATGAGCCCCGTCCTGGGTGCCAGGAGGAGAGCCCGCGACCCCCAGCCCCCCGCCCCTGTCCGGCGCGCACCTGGATGTGGTAGCGCTCGCGCATGCCGGTGCGGAGGGAGTGCAGGCCTCCGGGCAGGTAGGGCGCGCAGCAGCACTCGCCAAAGTCGTCGGAGATGCGGCAGGCGAGGCACAGAGGGGCGAAAGTGCCGCACAGACCTGGACGCGGTGCGGACGGTCAGGCGGGCCGGGCAGGGAGCCGCCCACCCGTTGCGGCCCGGGAGGGGCGCGGCTGACCCACCGCGGAGGGAGTTGGAAGCCCGGAGGGAATGAGGGGTCCGGGGGAGGGTGGCGTAGCGATTGGGAGACGGAGTTTGCAGAGGTAGTTGGGGGTCGCGAGGAGGAAAGCTGAGGGTGCAAGGGGGAAGCTGAGGGTCCGCTAAGTTAGAGAAGTTGAATGTTGGAAGGTGTGAGGTCAGAGTTCTAGGGAGTGCTGGGCCTGTCAGGAAGGGGTGAGGGCTAGAGAGTGGGAATTCAGAGGCTCAGAAAGGGAGGTGAGAGCGGGGTCAGCAGGACGTCGGAGGGGGTTGTGGGTGAGCCTCTCTCCTCGCCCCCCTCCCCCGGTATGGGCCTGGAGAGGGAGTCAGAGGACACTCACAGACGGGCATGTCGTTGCAGCAGTCGGTGAGACCCGTGTGCCAGTCACTGAGCTGGGTCTGGTAGCAGCTGCTGGTGGCGCACTGGGGCTGACTGGTCACTGGGTAGGACATAGCTGAGGTGACAGGCGGCGGGGGTCAGTGGCCAGCCTCACAGTGCCTCCTGGCCCCTGCCACCCTTCCCTCTGCCGGGCAGTCTAGGCGAGGCCATCAGGCCGCCCATGAGGGGACACCACTGCACCTCCCCTTCCCTTGTGCCACATTTGGGCATCGACAACCCCAGTCTGTCCCTGTTGCTCATCTGCCTCCTGCATATCTGGTTAAGGGGAGCGGGGAGCACATCTGAGGAAAGGTGGATGCCACAGCTAGGTGGGGCCTGGATATGCTGCCTCCTCCTCCACGTCTGGGCCTGGGGTGCTGGGTTCCAGCACTTCTGGGACCTCTGGGGTGGAAGCAGGTGCCTTCTGTCTTCGAAGCCAGGGTGCCCAGGGGAGGGAGGCGGCCAGGTTCCGAGTACTGAGGGTGTTGCTGGTCCATCCAGCGATCCCACCTTTGCCTTTCACGTCGTGCATCTCAAACTGCATCTTGCTGGCCCTGAAGAGGTGGCGTTGGGGATGGCAGAGGTGGCTGTGGCGACAGCTGCGGAGTCCGTTCAAGGGACACTGGATACTGGGAAGGGGAGTGGGGCACTTGGGGCTGGGATCTCAGGGGAAAGGAGCTGGGAAGAAAGAGGCCAAGTCAGCCTGCTGGCTAGGAGAGGCATGGAATAGGGGATGGAGAGGGTAGGGCGAGAAACTCGCCCATCTCTTTACAGCTGCCCGACAGACCCCAGAGAACCCTCCTCATACCAGAGACAGAGCTGGAGAGAGACTGAGAGAGACAGGCAGAGTCAGAGACAAAGGGAGAAAAAGATCAGATCAGAGCCACATGCCCATAGAGTTGCCACCAGTAATACCCACATGTGCCCAGCAATTTGACTCCTCTACAAACCCGTTTCACAGATGGAACACTGAGGCTTAGAGAGGTGAGGAAAAATGTCCCAGATCTGACAGCCCAAGACAAGGGGGTTATTAGAAGAGATGCCGGGCCACAAGGACTTCCAAATTCAGCCGACTCAGGTTAAGAAGGAGGGATTCAGGAGGCATTGAGAAACAGAGATGTCCAGAGAAAGGTAATTGAGAGATATGGAAGGAGAGAGAGAGAAAGAAAGAGAGATGAGGGGAGTAGGTAGAGAGGCGCCCAACCTCAGAGAAGAGGGCTGTTGCTGGAGGGGTGCTCCTACCTGCAGGACCGCGACGGCAGTGATGGAGACAAAGGTGTGAGGTGTGGATGACACAGGCACTGAGTTCTCAGTCTCGGGGCAGGAGCCACTTATATGGGCAGCCACGCAGTCCTAGGCGGGGCTCTGAAGGAGGTGCCTAGGGAGCCTGGCTGGTCTGGCTGACCCCCTCTGGGATTTCCCACCCACCCCCCATTTCCCATCCCCCTACTTCCTTTCCTGCCTCAGCTTCCAGGTCAGAAGAAATAGTTTGGGGAGGTGGGAGGAGTGTACCCGGATGAGGAGATGGGAGTGGAGATAGAAAACAGGAGTGGACAGAGATAGAGAGATAGAGAGAGAAGGGGGAGGGAACACAGCTGGGTCAATGTGCAGAGACCAAAAGAGAGGGAAAGATAGAGAAATGGGGAGGGACTGGGGAGTCAGGGAAGAGGTGAGACAGGAGGGAGAGAAAAGGAGATGCAGAGAGATGGAGAGACAGAAAGATGCGGAGAGATGGAGAAAGGTGCTGAGAAAAAGAGGCACAAGCATCTGGGGAGAAATAACCAAAGAAAGGGGAGATGGGATTCAGAGAAGACAGACTGAGGTGGAAAGGTGAGGGGATACTGCAGGGTTTAGAGGTGGGAGAGAGGCGGGGGAGAAAGGCTGGGTGGTGTAGGAGACAGGGCATGCGGGGCTCCCCTTTGAGGGTCTCTCTCATCAGAGTTAGGGATGTCCCCACTTTCCTGGGAGAGGTCAGCAGTGTCCTCTCATTCAAGCCACATGGGGGGGCAATGTGTTTTGGGGAGTGACTCATGCTGGAGTCCAAGTAAATAAACACACCTCACCCCGCCCCCAAGTTGGGAAGGGAGGAGGCTGGGAACTGAAAAGCCCTGGTTCCTGCAGGAAGTGGTTGTGGCCCAGGACTTCTGGGTCCAGCTAGAGCAGTAGAGTCGGGGGGCCTGTACTCCTGGTCTGAAAGAGGATAGGGCTGGGGCCTGGACTCTGGGGTCTCGCTAGGCTAGGCTGCACACCCTTGAGTAGGGAAAAGGTCCTGGGATTCGAGACAGCTGGGCTCCTGAGGGGTGAAGGAGCTGGGGGCCTGGATGCCTGAGTCCCCAAAATCTCCCTGCAACAGGCCCGACAGGGTTGGAGGTGACTCAGTGAGGGAAGCAGTGTTAGAGCTGGGTGGGGTTCCCAGCACGGGTGTCACCCCAAAAATGTAGGAGGCACCAGAAAATTGGGGTGTCACCTGCAGAGAAGGTGGTGTCATCACCCCACTGGGTATGGGTATGAGGTGGTGGTGGTGGTGGATCACCTTGCTGGCCTGGGATCCCAGGTCCCCCACCCCCTACAATACACTGAGATCCAAACCTTGGTCACCTGGCACCACCCAGGTGGCTAAGTCTCTTTGAGCCCAGACCTATGGGCGGCGCTCATTATCTTGCCTATGCATGTCCATTATTTGGTCCCACAGCCTGAATGTCTGGGGGACATCTCCCCATTGCTGCCCCTGTCTCCCCATCTCCACAACTTTGTCTCTTCAGCTCTGAATCGCTCTCTTTCCTCATCTCTACAAATCTGTGCCCAAATCTCTGGTTCTCTGTCTCTCCATCTCTGTGTCTCTCTCCTCCTAGGCTCTGTGTCTCTGCACCCTTATCCTGGGGTCTCCGTCGGGATCTCTCCTCATCGCTTCCCATCTCCAGCTCTGCCCCATGGAGGCAGCCACAGGGCCCCAACCTCCTCTGCTGTCCAGACTAGGAGTGTAGGTGACTCAGGGTCAGTCATCACTGAGGACCCTAGGGCTCCCAGGTTGACAATCTGAGTTGTCCTGAGGTTCCTCTCCCCCTCCTGACACAGCCTGGGGGCCCCAATTAGCTGCAGCAACTCATGTAGATGAGGAAATCGGGACTGGAGAAGCTGTGAGGTGGCCTGTTTGGGGGTGAGGAGGAGGGCCTGGGAGGCTGAGTGATGGTGGCCCAGTCACCAAGCGTCTGGTCTGGCCTTCATCCACCTCAAATAGAGGTGCAAGATTGCTGGTTCAATTTGGAATTCAAATAAGCATTGAATGCATTTTTTTTTTTTTTTAGTGTTTAAGTATGTCCATGCACTATTTGGGACATAGTAATACTAAAAAATATTTGTTGTTTATCTGACATTCAAATTAAACTGGACTTTCTGTATTTTTATTTGCTAAATCTGGACCCCTACCTTCAAAGACAAGAATCCAGGACACCAGTCCCCCTTTCCCCAGAAGCTGGGAGTCCAGGCCCCCAGCCCTTCTTCCTCAGGACCTGAGAGTCCAGATCCCAACCCCTCTCTTCTTCCTGAGAATGAACAGGGCTCCTTCTCCCTCAGCTCCTTTCTCCCCAGAATCCAGGCGTTCGGGCCAGGTCTGGGTCCAGTTGCCCAATGCAGGTTTCACAAGGCGGGTTGTGCCATTTGTGGCCCTGGTGAAACCGGTCGGGCTGAGCGGACAAGTGAGGTGGCCCCCTTTTCCAGCCCAAACCTGCTGTTTCCTTGAGGGCCAGCCCAGTGGGGCTGGGAGCGGAACTGGAGGGACTTTGGGGAGCTCTGGATGCGTCACTGTGTCTGGGTTTGGGTGTGTTGTGTCTCTGTGAGTGGTTGTATAACTCTCTGGATGCTGTATGTCTGTGTGAGGATTGCTGTGATGTGTCTCTTGGCGCTGTTTCTGTGGCCTGCGGTGTGACATGCCTCTTCTATTTTTGTGTCTGTATTGCTGTCCTGTGATTCTACACACCATGCCCATGTTTAGGTGTGTTCTCAGCTAGTGTGGAGGCTCTGTAATTCTGACTGGATGAGGGCAGCAATTATTATTTTATTTTATTTATTTTATTTTTAGTTTTTTTTTTTGAGTTGGAGTCTCATTCTGTCACCCAGACTGGAGTGCAGTGGGCGCTCCCGGCC